AAACTAGCACATTTTCAGGTCACTTGATAAATAGGCCAAAGCAATACACCCAAATGAGAATTATGTTACCACCAAAATCAAAATAAGCACACTAGGCATTGTGTCATTTTCTTGGTTGTTGGGGGTGGGGGGTGGCAGATACAACAATTTATCTTTTATCTTAGACTATCTTAGAAGAGAAGGAATATGTTTTTTGGTTTTTTTGTTTTTTTTTTTTTTTGAGGTGGAGTCTTGCTCTGTTGCCCAGGTTGGAGTGCAGTGGTATGACCTTGGCTTACTGCAAGCTCCGCCTCCCGGGTTCATGCTATTCTCCTCCCTCAGCCTCCCTAGTAGCTGGGACTACAGGCGCCCGCCACCTTGCCTGGCTAATTTTTTGTATTTTTAGTAGAGATGGGGTTTCATCGTGTTTGCCAGGATGGTCTCGATCTCCTGACCTCGTGATCTGCCTGCCTCAGCCTCCCAAAGTGTTGGGATTACAGGCGTGAGCCACTGCATCTGGCTGAGAAGGAATATTTTATGCCCCACACCATTCAACAACTAGGAATTTGCTTCCTAGTTGTTGTCCTTCTACTGAGGTAGAAGGCCCTTAAAATTTTGTCAGATTTATTTCCCATTCTCTGACATGCAAATGTGTTACCAGTAAGTCAAGAGTAGTTGCTACTTCTTGCTCATGAGGTTCAATCAGTATAATGTCATCAATGTAATGGATCATCTTGTGTGATGTCTTGTTGAAGGGAAAGACCATCAATAACCCTGCAGGCCAGATGTGGTGGCTCATGCCTGTAATCCCAGCACTTTGGGAGGCCAAGGTGGATGGGTCACTTGAGGCCAGGAGTTCTAGACCAGCCTGGCCAACATGGTGAAACCTCATCTCTACTAAAAATACAAAAATTAGCTGGATGTGGTGGCGCACATGGGTAATCCCAGCTACTTGGGAGGCTAAGGAATGAGAATCGCTTGAACCCAGGAGGTGGAAGTTGCAGTGAGCTGAGATCATGCCACTGTACTCTAGCCTGAGCGACAGAGCAAGACTCTGTCAAAAAAAAAAAGAAAAAAGAAAAAAGCAATGCAAACTAAATTATGACTTAGGGCTGCAAGTTGATGCATCCCGGAGATAGGATAGTGAAGGTATATTGCTGGCCTTGCCAACTGAAAGCAAACTGCTTCTCTGGGAGTCCTTATTGACAGGTATAAACAACAAAGCATTTGCCAGTTCAATACCTGCATACCAGGTACCAGGGTGACAGGGATGTGGCGATTTGCTCAAACAATGAAACCATATCTGGTACAGCAGTTACAACTGGAATCACGACCTGGTTAAGCTTATGATAATCCACTGTCATTCACCAAGATCCACTGTCTTTGGCACAAGCCAAATAGGCAAGTTCAGTGGGCATGTGGTGGGAATCGCCACAGATGCATCCTGGATGGTGGTAATGATCTCTGCAATCCCTCCAGGAATGTGGCATTGCTTTTGTTTTTTTGTGCTTTACTGGTGGGGTATCACTTTGTCACGCAGGCTGGAGTGCAGTGGTATAATCAGCACCCACTGCAGCTTGAACTCCTGGGCTCAAGCAATCATCCTGCCTCAGTTTCTTGAGCAGCTAAGACTACAGGCATGTACCATCATACCTGGATAATTTTGTATGTGTATGTACAGATGGAGTCTCACTATGTTGCCCAGGCTGGTCTTAAACCCCTGGCCTCAAGCAATCCTCCTGCCTTGACCTCCCAGTGTGCTGGAATTACAGACATGAGCCACCATGCCCATCTGATATTGCTTTTGATTTACTGTTTTTTTTTTTTTTAAGTAAATGCAAATCTGGTGGCTTCCACCTGGTCTTTAGTCTTCACTTCACATGTCAGGGAATGAAGGTGGGGATTGTGCCAGCTGCTGAGTATGTCTATTCCAATTATGCATACTAAAATGGGGAAATCAGACAGGATGGGTTTGGGGACCCACTGGCCCCTTTCTGAGATGGACTTGAGCTTAGTTTTAATAATGTCAACATAATTTCAATGGTATGCAAACACTGCGCTCCTGTACTTCTCCATTTTTCCTCCTCCATCTTGTTGTTGTCATAGATCACATCCTTGTACATTGTGTGCCTATTAATATCAATTTGTAATTATTGTTTTCTGCATTTGCTCTTTAAATCATATAAGTAAACAAGAGGATTTACAAGCCGAATGTACCACAATACTGTGCTATAGACTGAATTGTGTCTCCCGAAATCATATGTTGAAGCCTTACTATCCAATGTGATGGTATTTGGAGATGGTGTCTTTGGGAAGTGATTGGGTTTAGATCAGATCGTGAGGGTGGGGCCATCATAATGGAATTGGTGCCTTTTTAAGAAAAGACACCAGACAACTTGAGCTGTCTCTCTCTCTCTCTTCTCGTGTGCACAAGGAAGAGGTTATGTGAATGCACAGCAAGATGGTGGCCATCTCTAGAACTATGAGAAGTAAATGTCTATTGTTTAAGCCACTTGGTCTATGGGATTTTATTATAGCAGCCTGAGTAGCTGTGTACCAACATTTATATTTACCTGTATCATTACCTTTTCCAGTATTCTTTATCTCTTCATATGCCTTTGAGCTATTACCTAATGTCATTACATTACCTCCTAAAGGACTCCTTTTAGCATTTCACAGGGCAGATCTACTAGTAATGTGCTCTATTACCTTTCACTTACCTAAGAATGTCTTAATTTCTTCTTCCTTCTTGAATGACAGTATTGCTGGATATCAGATTCTTGGTTGCAGGATTTTGTGTGTGTTTTTGGTTTTTGGCACTTTAAATATGTTACCCACTCCCTTCTGGCCTCTGTGGTTCCTGGTGAGAAATTAGCTAATAACCTTATTGGGGTTCCCTTGTACATACTGAGTGGGCCACTTGCTGCTTTCAGGATTTTCTGTTTGTGTTGGGCTTTTGTCCATTTGACTATAATGTGTCTCAGTGTAGTTCTCTTTTAACTTATCCTGCTTGGAGATCGTTGAGCTTCTTGGATATGTAGACAAATGTTTTTCAAAAGTCTTGCACCTCCTTGTTAAATATTATTCCTAAATGTTTTATTTGTTTTTATGTCATTGTCAATGAAAGTGTTTTTCTTAATTTCCCTTTTGGATTGTTCTTTGCTACTGCGAAACTTTTACACTGAAAACTATCAAACATTGCTGTAAGAAATTAAAGAAAACCAAAATAAACAGGAAGATATTCCATGTTCATAGATCAAAATGGTGTTAAATTACCCAAAGCAATATACAGATTCAATGCAATCCCTATCAAGATCTCAGTGGTGTTATTTTAAAAATGGAAGAATTTATATTCAAAGTCGTATGGAATTAAAAAGGACTTACTGACCAAAAACAATCTGGTAAAAGAAAAGCAGAGTTGGCGGGACTCACACTTTCCAATTTTGAAACACATCTTCATTCCAGGGCAGCTTTAGTCCCTCTTTCTTTGGATCATTCTTTGACTCTATAGAGATTCCTCCCATTTTCTTCCCATGGCTGATGGTGTGAGCTTTAATTTTGAAGGCTTTTCCCATTGTTCTATGACTTCTGCTCCTGGTGTATCTTCCACTGGCTAGGAGCTCATTCAGAACAGGTATTAGGACATTATTCTGTGCATTTTAAAGGTCTAAATGGCACTGTCTAATATAGTAGTCCCTAGGCCCATGTGATTGCCAATCACTTGAAATATGCGAGGCAGGCGGATCACAAGGTCAGGAGTTCAAGACCAGCCTGGCCAAGATGGTGAAACTCCGTCTCTACTAAAAATACAAAAATTAGCCAGGTGCGATGGCGGGTGCCTGTAATCCCAGTTACTTGGGAGGCTGAGGCAGGAGAATCGCTTGAACCCAGGAGGCGGAGGTTGCAGTGAGCCGAGATCACTGTACTCTAGCCTGGGCAACAGAGCAAGATTCCATCTCAAAAATAAAAAAGAAATAAATATGCTACTGCAAATTGAGATGTGCCATGAGTTGAAATATACGCAGGATTTGAAGACATACTATGAAAAAAAATGCTGTAAAATATCTCAACATTTTACGTGGATTACATATTTAAGTGATATTATCTGGGGTACATTAAATTTAAATGCATTACTAAAATTAATTTTACCCCTTCTCACTTTTTTTAATGTGCTGAGTGTGAATTTAAATTTCATATGTGGGCTGGGCACGTACGTGGCTTACACCTGTATTCCCAGCACCTTGGGAGTCCAAGGAGAGTGAATCGCTTGAGCCCAGGAGTTTGAGACCAGCCTAGGCAACATGGTGAAATCTCGTCTCTACAAAAGAAAAAGTACACAAAAAATTAACCCGGTGTGGTGGTGTGCACCTGTAGTCCCAGCTATTTGTGGGTGGGCGAGAGGGGGGGTCTGGGAGGTCGAGGGTGCAGTGAGCTGAGATCACACCACTGTACTCCAGCTTGGGCTACAGAGCAAGACCCTGTCTAAATAAATAAATAAATAGGCTGGGCGCAGTGGCTCACACCTGTAATCCCAGTACTTTGGGAGGCTGAGGCAGGTGGATCACAAGGTCAGGAGATCGAGACTAGCCTGGCCAATATGGTGAAACCCTGTCTCTACTAAAAAAATGCGAAAATTAGCCAGGTGTAGTGGTGCGTGCCTGTAGTCCCAGCTACTCAGGAGGCTGAGGCAGGAGAATCGCTTGAACCCTGGAGGCGGAGGTTGCAGTGAGCCAAGATCATGCCATTGCACTCCAGCCTGGTCAACAGAATGAGACTATGTCTCAAAAGTAAAACATAACATAAAATAAAATAAAATAAAATAAATAAATAAATGTGTGGCTTATATTTCTTTTGGCAGTGCTGGTTTAAGGTGTGTGAATGCAGAATTGACAAACTGACCAAGCTAGAGATTTCCCTGTTTGGGTTCCACACATCCCTGAAAAAGCAGTCCCCCAGTCACCACTGCCAGCTGCTGGGAATCCTGTGACATTTCATTCACCAGCTTTTCTCTGCCCTCCCAGGACACCACATCTCCGAAGACAGTAGAGAATGTATCTCCTGCAAATATGGACAGGACTACAGCACTCACTGGAATGACTTCCTTTTCTGCTTGCGCTGCACCAAGTGTGACTCAGGTACAGAACATAAGGACCCCATGCCTCAAGGTGGAACGCAGGGTGATGACATAAAAGTTGTAGCTAAAATGGGATCAGGAGACCTAGATACTGGTCCACCTTGGTCTTCGTCATACTTTGTTCCGTGATTTTTGTCTTGGAGTTTTTTAGTAAATAAAACAGGCCAGGCATAGTGGCTCATGCCTGTAATCTCAACACTTTGGGAGGCATCGCTTGAGCCCAGGAGTTTGAAACCATCCTGGGCAAAATGAGAAACCCCATCTCTACAAAAATATAAACATTAGCCAGGCAGGGTGGTGTGTGCCTGTATTCCCAGCTACTTAGGAAGCTGAGGCAGGAGGCTCTCTTGAGCCCAGGAAGTGGAGGTTGCAGGGAGCCGAGATTGCGTCACTGCATTCCAGCCCAGGCAACAGAGCAAAACCCTGTCTTAATAATAATAATAATAATAATACAGAAATTATTTGTACAATGTATGCTACATGGTAAGGAAATCTTTTAGACTATCAGCTGCAAAGGGGTGGGGCTATGAGCCTGGCCGAGTGCACAGGGCTGGGTCTCAGCGGTGGCACGGGTCTGCTTCTGGACCAGGCTCTCTCCCCCGGGCTCTGTGCTCTTGGCAGGTGCTCGGCCTCGCTCATCCTTCCAGTTCTCAGGCCTCTCCCTCCTCCCCAGCAGGCCGGGCCTTGGGGAAATCACCCAAGGGCTCCTCTCCTTGCAGTCTCTCAGGTGATGCCTCACACTTCCCTTGCTACTGACCATGTGATCTAAACAATGCTTGTTCCCTAAACGATGCTTTCCCCTAATCTAATGTAATAAATAATGAATTGTGGTCCTTTTGTATGACTCTTGAGTGTTGGCGACAGCTGAAGGGTGGGCGTCCTGTATGAGCCACCAGTGTGCTGGTGCAGAAACTGGCCCTCAGAACTCCTTGGCGAACTGAATTAAGCTGAGTAGGAGGGTCTTGGGGTGGGGAGGAAGGGTCAAGGGACACATCAGGAAAACATATCCCAAAACCTTGTGCTCTGTCGTCAGGTGAAGTGGAGGTGAATTCCTGCACCACGACCAGAAACACGGTGTGTCAGTGCGAAGAAGGCACCTTCCGGGAAGAAGATTCCCCCGAGATTTGCCGGAAGTGCCGCACAGGGTGAGACAGCAGCCGGGGGCTCCCAGCAGCTCCACAGAACCCCAAGAAGACCCAAGCCTCCTTGTACCCCTGTCTATCCTCTGAGAGCACCCCCATGGGGCATCCTTCAGCCTGTGGCTGCCCCTCCTGATCCCTCTGCCTGTCCCCACGCCTGCCCCCTGTAGCAGCCCCTTCCCACCCCTCCCCAGCACGAGTCCCCTTGGCCAGGCTGACTTGTTCACTGACCACAGAAGGCCATGATGTAGGGCCCATGATACTTTTAGGGGCCCATGAAACGATTTAATTTCTTTTGAAATGAGAAGAATGAGTAGAATGCAGCCAGGGATATATTCATCTTTATACCAATTCAGCAATAAAATGTAATTTTTAATATTTTTTATGCAGGCAGGGGTCCATAAAGACAAAAGTGCCCACAGCCCACAAGAGGCATAATAAGGCCGTGGGTGGAGCTCCTTCAAGTTCCCATGAGGACCTGAGCCCACCCAGCTGGCCTCGCCCCTGGCCCCTGATCCCTCAATAAGACCTGTCTTTTCTCTATTTGGGTTTTAGGGGCCAAGGGTAATTTGCTCTTCTCTGGCCCCCGTAGTATTTGCTGTGATTGGGAGGAATGGGCAGACAGGTGGGGACAAGAGCTCACTTTTGTGGTTGACTGGAAGACCAGACTCAGCTTGTGGCCATAGGGGCTTGTGACCTTCCCCTGGAGTGTGGCTCCTCCTAACGCAGCCTCCCCTGCAGCCCAGGGAAGATCCGTGTGTGCCCAGCACGGAAGGCTCCTGGAGCTGCAGCTCTGACCCCAGAGCAGGGAGGCCGAGGGGCCTGAAGTGCACATGCTCAGACTCTTCCCCAGCCTCAACAAGGGAGCATAGGGGGACCCCCTGCAGACACGAGGAACCTGCCCTTTCCCTGACACCTTCTCAGGGACACTGGGGAGGGAGGGTGGCTCCTCTTTCATCCCACCTGGCCAGCTTTCCATCAAGAGTCCCCCCTCTCCCTCCCTGTGTGTACCCAGGTGCCCCAGAGGGATGGTCAAGGTCAAGGATTGTACGCCCTGGAGTGACATCGAGTGTGTCCACAAAGAATCAGGTACAAAGCACACTGGGGAAGTCCCAGCTGTGGAGAAGACAGTGACCACCAGCCCTGGGACTCCTGCTTCTCCCTGTTCCCTCTCAGGCATCATCATAGGGGTCATAGTTCTCGTCGTAATCGTGGTTGTGGCTGTGATTGTTTGGAAGACTTCACTGTGGAAGAAAGTCCTTCCTTACCTGAAAGGCGTCTGCTCAGGTAGGTGCTGGCTGAGGGCGGAGGCACTGGGCACTCTCTGCCCTGCCCCCCCCCACTCTATTCCCACAGACAGAAACGGCTGCCCCTCCCCCAAGTCTTAGTGTCTCCAGCCTGGCTGTATCCTCCTCCTTGTGGTCACCCCCATCCCCACATCCCAGGCACCCCCCAGAACCCTGGTCTCATCACTCCCTCTTCCGGAGCTGGGGGTCCCCTCATCTCCCAGCCAAGTCCAGGAGGGCAGGGCCAGTTCCTCCCACCTTCAGGCCCAGCCAGGCAGGGGGCAGTCGGCTCCTTAACTGGGTGACAAAGGTGAGGATGAGAAGTGGTCGCGGGATTTATTCAGCCTTGGTCAGAGCAGAACACAGAGATTTTCCATGTGTTGGTTTTACTCTAGTTCCCCTTCTCATCCCCCTTCCTCAGGGTGTCTCTGAGTTGTAAGACCCCATTCCTGTCCCCAGGCCCGGGGCTCCTTGTCCAGTGTCCCTGCCCCCAGCCCACCCCTGCGCCCCACTGTCCTCTGGGAGGGAGGTGCTGTGTGGGCCCCTCCCCTCCTGCTAAGGAGACTCCTTCTCTTTTAGGTGGTGGCGGGGACCCTGAGCGTGTGGACAGTGTGAGTTGGTTTCTCCAGGAGCTGGGGGCTCAGGGGCTCAGGAACTGCTTCCTGGGACAGCAGAACCTGGGTGGGTGGGTCCCCATTGTCCTCATGGCTGCCCTGACTCTCTGAAGTGGCCTGGGGGCTCTGGGCTGACTGTGGGGGACACATGACTGTTTTGAGCACCGCATATGCTGGTGAGCCCTGCTGCAGCCCAGGTGACACCCTTACCCCACAGCCTGCACCCTGGGGATGGGGTGTCTGCCAGAGCACAGCACTGGGGCCCTGGCCCCAGCAGCAGGTCCTAGATGTGCTGAGACTGGGCTGCCTGCGGTGACAGAGGGGGTGGGGATGGCAGGTCCAGCTGCATACTGGGGACCCTGCAGCGAGCCCTAGGTGTGGATTCCTGAGTGGACTCTTTGCCTTCCCAATGTTTTTTCCAGAGCTCACATTCCCCACAACGGCCTGGGGCTGAGGACAATGCCCTCAATGAGATCGTGAGTATCGTGCAGCCCAGCCAGGTCCCTGAACAGGAAATGGAAGTCCAGGAGCCAGCAGAGCAGACAGACGTCAACACTTTGTCCCCAGGGGAGTCAGAGCATCTGCTGGTGAGTGGGGGACAGGTCATTTTGTTTCCTGGCCCGCTGCTTACCTGGGATTTCACAGACAGTGCAAGAGGGCAGTGCCTTAGCTCTCCTGGCCCAGGGGAAATGGAACCTGAAAGAGACGGGGGACTGCAGAGGACAAAGCGGCTGCACTGAGGTGGTGACTGTGCCAGTCTGCAGGACACCTGCTTCTTACTCCCTGTCCTGTCCTTGCTGTGTCCCCAGAGCCTGGAGCTCCACAGGCACAGAGTGGGGGTCACAGGGTTCATTGGTGACTGAATAAGGCTGCACCGTCTCCATCGTGTGCTCCTAACAGAACTCAAGGAGCCCTTGCTTATAACCGTAGGAGTTTTAAATTTACTCTGAAATTGTTATTACATTGAACATATTTCAAAGTTTGTATGGCAGCTTCTAAAAAGTAGGATTCCGAGTCGATGCACAGAGGGCTTTTGTATTGGACACTCGCACACAATCAGTTCATATCAATCCATCAGTTTTGATATGATACTGAGTAGGTGGGAAATCTGTATATACATTTATTGTTCATTGCTCATAAGCACTGAAAGTCCTTCCCTCGAACATAGGATGAGATTATCCATTTACTTGCAGTGTTTTATTTTTAATGATTTGAATTTTTTTTTTTTTTTTTTTTTTTTTTGTGAGAAGGAGTCTCCCTCTGTCCCCAGGCTGCAGTGCAGTGGCGCGATTCGGCTCACTGCAAGCTCTGCCTCCCGGGTTCATGTCATTCTCCTGCCTCAGCCTCCCGAGTAGCTGGGACTACAAGCGCCCACCACCACGCCCGGCTAATTTTTTGTATTTTTAGTAGAGACGGGGTTTCACCGTGTTAACCAGGATGGTCTCGATTTCCTGACCTCGTGATCCGCCTGCCTCGGCCTCCCAAAGTGCTGGGATTACAGGCGTGAGCCACCGCGCCCGGCTAATGATTTGATTTTTAACATACCGCAATATAATCTAAACAGAATTGAATTTTTTTTTTTTTTTTTGAGACGGAGTCTCGCTCTGTCGCCCAGGCTGGAGTGCAGTGGCACGATCTCGGCTCACTGCAAGCTCCACCTCCCGGGTTCCCGCCATTCTCCTGCCTCAGCCTCCCGATTAGCTGGGACTACAGGCGCCCACAACCGCGCCCGGCTAATTTTTTGTATTTTTAGTAGAGACGGGGTTTCACCGTGGTCTCGATCTCCTGACCTTGTGGTCCGGCCCCCTCGGCCTCCCAAAGTGCTGGGATTACAGGCGTGAGCCACCGCGCCCGGCTAATGATTTGATTTTTAACATATCGCAATATAATCTAAACAGAATTGAATTTTTGATATCATATAAGCTGAGGAACTCCCTGAATTGTTCTGAGTCTCTGTTTCCTTCTTCCAAGCCCACTTAGCGACTAATTCTTCCTTTTCTCTCTGCCTTTGCCCTTTTGCCACCTCCTTTGCTACATGTCAAATGTTTATTTTTTTCTCTCTTCCTCTTCACTCTTTTTTTATTTTTTTAAACTAGATCTTGTCCTTGAAAATATCAAATGTTTATGTGGGCAGTGATCTCTTCCACCTAGACTGTTTCTGTTTCTTCCTTGCATCTATACCACTTTCTTTTTAATAAAGAGAAGAGATTTTAAAAGGAAACAAATGAATAATGCCAATACTTCCTCCATGCTTATTAATCACTTCGAACATTTTTTTTTTTTTTTTTTTTGAGACAGGATCTTACTCTATCACCCAGGCTGGAGTGCAGTGGCGCGATCTTGGCTCATTGCAACCCCTGCCTCCTGGGCTCAAGTCATCCTCTCACCTCAGCTTCCTGAGTAGCTGGGACTATAGGCATGTGCCACCGTGCCCAGCTAAGTTTTGTATTTTTTTAGAGAGACTGGTTTGGTCATGTTGCCTAGGCTGGTCTCGAACTCCTGAGCTCAGGCAATTTACCCTCCTTGGCCTCCCAAAATGCTGGGATCACAAGCATGAGCCACCATGCCTGGCCTCATCATTTTTTTGTTGTTGTTGTTTTTGTTTTTTGTTTTGTTTTTTTGAGACAGAGTCTCGCTCTGTCGCCCAGGCTGGAGTGCAGTGGTGCGATCTTGGCTCACTGCAAGCTCTGCCTCCCGGGTTCACGCCATTCTCCTGCCTCAGCCTCCTGAGTAGCTGGGACTACAGGCACCCGCCACCACGCCCGGCTAATTTTTTTTTTTTTTTTTTTTTTTTGTATTTTTAGTAGAAACGGGGTTTCACCGAGTTAGCCAGGATGGTCTCGATCTCCTGACCTTGTGATCTGCCTGCCTCAGCCTCCCAAAGTGCTGGGATTACAGGCATGAGGCACCTTTTTAAAAAGGAGGTCACCCATAGCCACACATCCACCAGAGTATGAAAAAACTTGATCATATCAAGAGCCTTCTTCACTCTTTCCCCAGGCTTCTGGCCCTTATATTTCAGGTAACTACAGTGGATAATTTCTTGCAATTCTTTGCTAAGCTCTTTATGCATATGCCATCTATGTACATACATGCATATGTATATATGTGGTATTGACATGAAAAGGATTATATCATGTACAACACCAAACAAAACTGTCTAATATGTTTTAATATCTTAGACAGCAAATATGTTTTCAAAATTATTTTCACACATCTTAAAATTTAGAATTAGATAAAATTTAGAATTATAAGATTTTCTCCAGCACCCACCCCGCCACCACCACATAATCACTGGATGTTAAAAAATATTAATTTAAATTAATAAATGGTTCTAGGAATGATTGAGATCCTTTCAACATTCAATTTTATTATCAAAGAAGATAGTATTTCAAGTCTTTTATTATGACTAGTCAAGATTTGGGGGTTTATTTCAGATAAATTATTCCTATTCCTCATCAAAGCTGTTTCTTTGCATTTCGGGTCTTCTTGTAAGTCCATTTTCTAATTTATTATGTCTGCTGCTACTTTTCTTTTCTTTCTTTTCTGAGATGGGTCTCACTCTGTCACCTAGGCTGGAGTGCAGTGGTACAATCATGGCTCACTGCAGCCTTGACCTCCTAAGGCCAAGTGATCCTCCTGCCTCAGCCTCCTGAGTAGCTAGGACGACAGTTTCGTGCCACCACACCCAGCTTTTATGTTATTTTATATTTTATTTTATTATTTTATTTTATTTTATTTTTATTTTTATTTTATTTTAGAGACAGGATCTCGCTATGTTGCCCAGGCTGGTCTCCAACTCCTGGACTCAAGCAATCCTCACACCTCAGCCTCCCAGAGTGCTGGGATTACAGGTGTGAGCCACCATGCCCCAGCCTCTGCTATGTGTTTTAACATTCATCAGGGCTGGGTGCAGTGGCTCATGCCTGTAATCCCAACAATTTGGGAGACTGAGCCGGGCAGATCACTTGAGGTCAGGAGCTTGAGACTAGCCTGGCCAACATGGTGAAACCCTGTCTCTACTAAAAATACAAAAATAAAATACAAAAATTAGCTGGGCATGGTGGCACACACCTGTAATCCCAGTTACTTGGGAGGCTGAGGCAAGAGAATCTCTTGAACCCAGAGGTGGAGGTTGCAGTGAGCCAAGATGGCATCATTGCACTCCAGCCTGGGAGACAGAGTAAGACTCTGTCTCAAAAAAAAAAAAAAAATCATCAGGACATATTCATTTTTAAGTATTACAATTTAAACCTTGGGGTTTTAAAAATATACACTCCTAATTTAAATATTGACTGCTGTATTGGCCTCCTTCCGAGAGTCTTGCCTCTTTGTTTCCTGTCTTGTTGCCGGAACTTTCAGAACAATGTTCTGGAAGTAACGTGCTGCAGGTCTCAGGGCTGGCTGGTGGTCTGGTTCAGTACTGGACTGCAGGACTCCTGGCTCTGACCGGGACGTTCTGCACTATGTGTTACAGGAACCGGCAAAAGCTGAAGGGCCTCAGAGGAGGGGGCAGCTGGTTCCAGTGAATGAAAACGACCCCACTGAGAGTAAGTGTTTTGCTCCTGGAGATGCAGCAGGAATGGAGGGAATAGGGACAGTGTCCTAATTTCTGTCCCCATAGGTGAGAGGGCTCTTCCAGAGTATTCCATGGAGGAAGCAGGGGGTCCTGTGGTATAGACCATCTGGACCCTAAACTGTCTTCTCCCATCTCTTCTCCCCACTCTACCTCATCCTCTCTGCGCCCTATCAATGACCCTAATGACTCTGTCCGTCCCCTTGTCCTCTCTCCTCCTTTGTTCAGGGTCTGATGTAGCCCCCGCCCCAGGGACCTCCTGAGGGGCTGGCCTGTCCTGCACAGCACCACTAACCCCAGTGGGCTAAGGAGCTCTTGACCTGTGCCTAAGCCCAATTTGCAGAGCTATTGTGTAAACGACATATGAATTCCAAAGACTTAATGCAGAAAAGAGTGGAAAATATTTCACTCATAATTTTTGTATATTGATTGTATATTAAATTATATTTTAAATATATTCAGTACCATACATTGAAATGAATGTCGCTTGTTTCTGACTTTTTTAAATGAGGCTGTTGGAAAACATAGCTTCGTGTTCCTGGCCCCGTCTATCTCTAAGGACGGCGGGGCGCATCATGTTGCACACACATCTCATTTAATCCCTCATTGTCCCAGGATCTGGGCAGCGTTGCTCAGTCTTTGGGTTCGCTTCTTGCTCAGAGTCTGTTTGCCTCCACCTAGCTCTGCCCTAGCACCAGGAAGTGAGGCCGAGCTGGGTGAAAACAGAGGTCCCCTGTCCCAGGCCCTGTGCTTTGCACAGATGCAGACATGGCCGCCCTGGGACCTGCTCCCATGGCAAGCGCAGCCCAGGCAGCCTCCTTCCTCTGAGCTCCCGCTGCAGCCACTCTCTCTCCCTCCCTCGGGTTCTCACCCATTTTGCTTTCTGCCTCTGTAGGGTTCATCCATCCTCCCCTGGTGGGTTCTCAGCTCTGCGTGAGGGCTGATTCTCTGATGACTTTGACTCCCCGAAGCACCTTGGGTGCGGGGGAGGCCAAGCAGTGTGGGAGCGCTTTCTGTGGATGGGAAGTGGGTGGGCGCTGAGCGGCAGGTTTGCCGACACACAGGGCTGCCCAGGTTCCCCGCCTTGGGTTCTGGGCCTGATGTGGGATCCTCTGCCCTTTCTGAGTCCCAACTCACCTGGCTTTCTCTGTGGCTTTCTCCACCAGCTCTGAGACAGTGCTTCGATGACTTTGCAGCCATCGTGCCCTTTGACGCCTGGGAGCCTCTCGTGAGGCAGCTGGGCCTCACGAACAACGAGATAAAGGTGGCCAAAGCTGAGGCAGCAAGCTCCAGGGACACCTTGTATGTGATGCTGATAAAGTGGGTCAACAAAACCGGGCGGGCCGCCTCTGTCAACACCCTGCTGGATGCCTTGGAGACGCTGGAAGAGAGACTTGCCAAGCAGAAGATTCAGGACCGCTTGTTGAGCTCCGGAAAGTTCATGTATCTAGAAGATAATGCAGACTCTGCCACGTCCTGAGTGTGAATCTCTTGAGGAAATCAGACCTTCCCTGGTTACCTTTTTTCTGGAAAAAGCCCAACTGGACTCCAGCCAGTAGGAAACTGCCACAATTGTCACATGACCAGTAGTGGAAGACACTCTCCCATCCAACATCACCCAGTGGACGGAACATCCTGGGACTTTTTCACTGCACGTGGAATTATTTTTGTAAGCGGAATGTGAACACTATGTAAATATCTAGATCATTCTATGTTTGTGTGTATTTTGAGATTTGGTTTGGGATGTCCTATTGTCTTTACAGCACTTTATCCTAATATAAACGCTTTATTTATTTATGTGGGCTACATTGCAAGATCTATCTGGCTTAGCATTTATGCAGTTGATGTCCAACTTCACTTGACACTATATGATGTGAATTTTTTTCGGGGGGAGGGGGAGTGGTTCACTCTGTCTCCCAGGCTGGAGTGCAATGGTGCAATCTTGGCTCACTATAGCCTTGACCTCTCAGGCTCAAGCAATTCTCCCACCTCAGCCATCCAAATAGCTGGGACCACAGGCGTGCCCCACCACGCCCGGCTAATTTTTTGTATTTTGTCTAGATATGGGGGGCTCTCTATGTTGCTCAGGGTGGTCTCGAACTCCTGGACTCAAGCAGTCCGCCCACCTCAGACTCCCAAAGTGCTGGAATTAGAGGCATGAGCCCCAGCACCTGGCCTTACCTTTCTACTTTTATAATTCTGTATGTGATTATTTTATGAATATGAAGAAACTTTAGTAAATGTACTTGTTTACACAGTTATGTGAATGGATTAGGTAAACAAAATGAGGAGACGTACAATGGGGGAAGAAGAAAAAGTCCTCTGTAAGATGTCACTGTCTGGGTTCCAGTTCTCCCTCAGCTGTACTTTGGTTTCAATGACTGGCAACTTCTAAAGGGGCCAGCCTTTTGAACTGGACAACCTTACAAGTATATGAGTATTATTTATAGGTAGTTGTTTACATGTGAGTCGGGACCAAAGAGAACTGGATCCATGTGAAGTCCTGTGTGTGACTGGTCCCTACCTGGGCAGTCTCATTTGCACCTGTAGCCCCTATCTATGGACAGGCTGGGACTGAGGCAGACGGGTTAGATCACATACAGCAAATAGGGTCTATGTCATATCCCATTTCCAGTGAATGTAGTGAACTTGAGCCTGTTTAGGTTCAAGAGAGAGAGGACAAAATCTGTCTCCCACGTCTGCCATGGCATCAAGGGGGAAGAATAGATGGTGCTTGGGAGTTGTATGAAATGGTTGCCATCTCAGGAGTAGATGGCCCAGCTCACTTCTGGTGATCTGTCACCCTAAGCCACTGAGTTGCATTTTAGGGTACAGATTCCCTACTTGAGGAGCTTGGCCCGTCTGTAAGCATCTGACTCATCTCAGAAATATCAGTTCTTAAACACTGTGGCAACAGGACCTAGAATGGCTGACGCATTAAGATTTTGTTCTTGTGTCCCGTTCTATTATTGTTTTAAGACCTCACTAACCATTTCAGCCTCTTTCTAACAAATCCTTCTCCACAGTATTTCAGTCATGGCAGGATCATTTAAGCAGGTAGTCATTCCAGGAGTTTTTGGTCTTTTCTGTCTCAAGGCATTGTGTGTAGTTTTGTTCCGGGACTGGTTTGGTGGGGACAAAGTTGGAATTGCCTGAAGATCACACATTCAGACTGTTGTGTCCGTGGAGTTTTAGGAGGGGGTGGCCTTTCTGGTCTTTGCACTTCCATCCTCTCCCACTTCCATCTGGCGTCCCACGCATCGTCCCCTGCACTTCTGGAATGCACCAGTTGCTGCTACCTCCTGGTCTTTGCCTTTGCTGCGCCTTCTGTGCAGGACGCTCAGCCTCAGGGCTCAGAGGGAGCCAGTCTGGTCCCAGCTCCCTTGTCCCTTCCACAGAGGCCTTCCTTGAAGATGTATCTGAAGTGTCAGCCTTATCAGTGTTTAAGATTATTCTTTTTTTATTTTTTATTTTTTGAGACAGAATCACACTCTCTCACCCAGGCTGGAGTGCAATGGCGTGATCTGGGCTCACCGCAACCTCCACCTCCTGGGTTCAAGCGATTCTCGTGCCTCAGCCTCCAGAGTAGCTGGGATTACAGGCACCTGCCATCACGCCTGGCTAATTTTTGTATTTTTAGTAGAGACGGGGTTACACCACGTTGGTCAGGCTGGTCTTGAACTCCCGACCTCAGGTGATCCACCTCTTCCTCCCAAAGTGCTGGGATTATAGGCGTGAGCCACCACACCAGGCCAAGCTATTCTTTTAAAGTAAGCTTCCTGACAACATGAAATAATTGGGGTTTTTTGTTGTTTAGTTACGTTAGGTTTTGCTATATTCCCAGGCCAAACAGCATGTGATACAGGACAGCCACTTACAGTGTGTCACTCATGGTTGGTGTCCTTTCATGCTTCTGCCCTGTCAAAGGTCCCTATCTGAAATGTGTTATAGTACAAACAATACAAGGAAGCACATTGTGTACAAAATATTTATGTATTTATGAATTCATGACCAAATTAAATATGAAACCTTATATAAAAAGAGGTGTGGTTTTTGTCTCCCGCCCCCAACCTCCCCTCCTCCTGTGAATCAGCTCTTGAGTGACAGGAGGCCAGGGCTGTGCTCCTGCTGGGACTCCTTCCTCCCTCCCTCCCCTCTCTTTTCAGGATTGGCCTGCTGGGGGTGTTTTCCTGCATCCAGGAATTCTCTGGAGTTCAAAGAGCTAGGTTCCTGGGGACTGGGATTCATACTTCCTTCCCCTCTCTCTCCTGTCTGCTCCTCCCTCTGGGGACAGGGACACCAGTGCTGGCCTGGTTTACCCACAGCCTCCCAGGAGGGTTCTCTGGGCTGCCGGGTTGTATCTGGTTCCGACAGCTCTCGGGGAAGGGGCAGTGGGTCCCTTAAGTTGGGGAGCCGGCCCTGTTTCTCAGGGCGTCCAGTGGTCACTCTCCTACGGCTTCCTACAGCCCTGGGCCGACCTTCATTTTCTCTGCCCCGGCCTTCCCTGCACCCCCACCAGGGTACCCAGGTTGCTCAGCCCTGCAGGCACCTAGACCTATTTCCCGTTCCCCTTGCCCTGGAGGACCCATTCTCTCTCTCATCCACAGCTTCTGGGAGGCCCAGGCGTTCCCCAACGCTGTCCGCCTTCCTTAGAGGGGAGGTGGAGGTGCTCCAGGCTCCCACTTCCGTCCCCGCTGCCCTGCCCGTGGGCTTTTGGGCCTCACTTGGAGCCCTGGGCTGCGCTGAGCCGCAGGGAGGCCGAGCAGCCTGTAGAGGGCAGCATACCCATGGCTTTCCAGCCAGCCGCCCTGGAGGCCCGTGGAGGGGAGGCAGCCACAGTCCTGGAGGAGCCTGGGCCTGGAAAACATGGCTCCCCATGGGGTTAGAGCCGCTTGTCCTCTAGCCGCCTGCTCTCTCTTGATGGGGATTTAACCTCTGGTCACTAGGTCCTGCTGGCTGCCTTTGTTTCGGCTCTATACCAGGCCTAACCAGCGTTTTGCTGGAGCCCACCCCTGGGCCAGGCCCTCTCAGCTAGAACATCTTCCTCAGGCGAGGCGACTCCTGAGTTCCGAGCCCACAGCCCCACTGCCTCCTGGCTCTGCCCCTCCTCCGTGGGACTCCATCTTTTACACCTAAAAAGGGTGTGGGTAGTGAAATTTGAGTCAGGTTTAGAAAACGGAAAGGGGCAACTGTGGCCCAGCTTTTGCCCCATGGGGGCTGGGAGCTAGTTTCAATCCCCCACATTCCTCCAGCCCCGCCCTCCTCCTCTCTAGACCAACCCTGCTTTTCCTCCTGCTCCATTCTCCCTCTTCTCCTTCCCCTTATCCCACCCCAGCAGTAATAAGGTGGTGTCCTTTCACTACAGGCCTGTGCCCCTTCCCCTGACCTTTGGCCCCTATTGCAGCCCTCCCAAAAATACCCACCATAAGCACCCTGTAGGGTGATCCTCTGAAGGCAAGGAAGGGAGCCTGCAGTCTCCAGATGGGCAAAAGCAAGAGTCCGGTGCCATTTGAGCCTGGAGACCAAACCCCTCTTTGCTGCCAGCCCCAGCCCCTCAATCACCAGCCCTCTGGAGGCCAGGCCCCTGTGCTGTCCTCGGAGCCAGCTGGCAGGGTCAGGGCCTCCGCAGTCAAAGAAGTACCGAGTCCTTTCCTGAAAGGCATTGAAGTCGATTCTGCAACCTAAATCTTTACCTCCTCATCATGGGGGCCTCTGTTTCTAGAAATGTGAGCTAGGCAGGGGCTTTTTCTGGTTTTCATTCTTTGGAGGGATAGAGGACAGAGTGTTTGTTGGTGACTTTTTGTTTCGGTTTCAGTTTAGTTGTTGTTGGGTTTTGTTTTTTGCTAATTTTGCCCCACCCTATAAAAAGCAGTGCCACCCAGAGGCAGGGGAGGGCCCTGAGGAACACGGGGTCGCTGTGCACTCATTCCTACTTCCTTCTCCACCTGTCCCAGCCGCTTTCCTTGGTTCCCATCTCCAAATCTGAGGGTAAAGGAGGGGTGAGGGAGAAGTTTCTTGTTGCACCAAGAGGCACTGCTTCTAGGCCTGGAGCTCCGAATGACCTCTGTCCCCATTCTCAGGCCTGTGCCAGCACAGCCCCCCAGGACAGAGGGACGCTGGCAGGATGCAGGCCTTTCCATGTCTGGCCTTTTGCAGCTGGACCCCGGGATGTAGAAGCCTTGAGTTGGGCTCTGAAGGCTCAATTTCTACCCTGACTTCTCCAGTAAGGATGTGAGTAGACTTCGTGTGGAAATGTCCACAAAACAAATGCAACACTCAAGTCCATCGGTGGAAAGACATGGCCAACAGGGCCAGGAGCCTTGAGGATCGCTTCTGCTTGCTGGGAGGGGGGGCTGCCTCCCTGGCCAGAGCAGCAACCAAGACACACAGAGAAGCCCTCGAGGCTGGGAGGCTTTCCCTTTGACTCTAGGGCTCTCAAACCCAGAGATAAAATGCCAGAGCGCTTTGCTCCTCCAAGCAGTTGTCTCCTGTCCTGCTTTGGGTCTGGGAACCTCTGCAGGTGGTTCCCGTTCTGCTCCACAGGGCCCGGCTCCTCTCTGGCTGAGCCACGGTGGCTGGTAAGAAGAGCTGCACCCTGTGGGTCCTGGTCACGTGGGCCCCCGGTCCCTGTAAGGTGGATGGGGTGATGCGGAAGAGCAGAGGGGCGAGGGCGGATGGGGACAACAGCAGCAGGGTCAGAAGAGGGTGGCAGCATCTCAGACCACAGCCGAGGAGGAAGACGGGGACGAGGAGGAGGCTGCCGAGGAGGATGGGGAGGACGGACTGTTCCAGAAGAGCCAACGCCGCTTGGGCTGCCGCTTGAGGTGGAGGTAGTCCTCCTTCTCACGCTCCTTCCGTGCCCGCTGGTAATGATCTTCCTCCTTCAGGTACCACACAGGTGGCCACCGATGCTTCTCGAAATACTCCTGGTTTTCTGGAACAAAGAACAGTGCAGCTTGGTTAGAAAGGAGGCAGAGGGACAAGAGGAGCGTGGGACACCAGTCCCACCCCACCACAAGGCCTGCAGCAGGCCCCCAGCCCAGCCCCCAACACATTCCCATGGCCCACGGCACATGAGCCTCTGAGGCAAGCAAAGTGCCCAAAAAGCAGGTCTGAAAGTCAGCACTGGGGAAGCTGAGTCCCTTTACAAAGATGGGAGCGATCTAGACAAGGGCTGCCTGTGCATTGGGAATGAAACGGACAGAGGTGAAGGATAAGGGAGAAGGGGTAAGCGAATGTCGGCCAGGAGATACTCAGCATGGTTAGGGGATGAGTGGAAGTTTCTGGCCAGAGCTGAGGTTCGGGGGGAATATGGAGTCAGGGCACAGCAGGACACAGCAGCAGACCAGAGGAACGGCTCGCCTTATTCTGCCGGGTACGGGGGGCCGTGGAAGACTACTGTTTCAATGGAAGGTCTGGAACCAGGCAGTGATGCTATTGGACCTTTGCTCTAGAAAGAAAATGCTAGGCTGGGCGTGGTGGCTCACGCCTATAATCCTAGCACTTTGGGAAGCTGAGGCAGGTGGATTGCCTGAGGTCAGGAGTTTGAGACCACCCTGGGCACCATGGTGAAACCCCGTCTCTACTAAAATACAAAAAATTAGCCGGGCGTAGTGGTGGGTGCCTGTAATCCCAGCTACTCGGGAGGCTGAGCCATGAGAATAGCCTGAACCCAGGAGGCAGAGGTTGCAGTGAGCTGAGATTATGCCACTGTACTCCAGCCTGAGTAACAGAGCTAGACTGTCTCAAAACAATAAATAATTTTTTTTGAAGGGTTGTAGTAGTGAAAAGGAGAGATCGGGGTGAAGACTCGGCAGCACGCAGCAAAAACATGGAACAGGGAGGAGGGTCACGGCAGTGCGGAGGGAGCCCAGAGAGGACCCCATGGAAAGAGTGGCAGGCCCCTCAGGGAGGCCAGGGATGCCTCTCTCTGGAGGCTGTGCAGTTCCTGTTGAGCTCTAGGGCCTAAGAAATTAATCAAGAAGAGACAGGAGGCCTCGGAGGATGCCCAGACCTGGGTGGTCCAAGCTGTGGCCTGTGCCCATTCCTGGGTTGTACAATCAATTTAGTGGGCCATGAGCATGATTAAAAAGATGTATATATTTTCCTATATGTGCCTGGGTCACAAGATGAAATGTATTTCTTATTATGGTATTCTGTCCAGAAAAGTCTGAAATCGACCAACTCTAGTCCAGTATCCTCTTCATACCTCTGAGAATGAGACGCCAGAGAGGCAGGGTGCGGAGCCTCCAGGCCAGCGCTTTTCCTGGGGCCCCTTGGCTTGGCTGGAGGCTCCTTCGCAGGCTGCTCCCAGCCCCAAGGTCAAGGATCACTGGCAGCCTCCGGGTCCCTGGGATTACGTGGGAGCTGTGGACCCCTAAGGGGAGGGCAGCAGGTACTGCCAGGGCTGGCCCCGATGCTCACCTGGGGACATGGCCTTCATGTCTCGGGGGAACTTGCGGCATACGTTGTTGTAGTTGGTGCAGATGTGGTGGAGACACCAGTCGGCCAGCTGGTATGCACAGTGGAACTGGGGACAGAAGGGAAGAGCATCTGTACTGAAATCCCCAGGGGAGAGGGTCTGCATAGACACCTCCAGCTGCCTTCAGAGCTGAAGCTCTGGTGCAGGGCGGGCAGCGGCCCTGCAGTCCTAGAGAGCCTGTGCCAGAGGCAAGGCCACACAAAACTGAGAAGGATGATGCTGCCTCAGGCTCCTTGGCACCACCACCAGCACCACCATCGTCTCACCTCTGTTCTGCCCACTCCCGGCATCCTCACTGCAGACTCCAGAGCCCTATGTAGTGGCTTCATACTGCATCTGCCCTCCTCAGATCTCACCCCACGTGACTTCCCTCTCCTCCGCATCCAGGACCAAGGCAGCCTGTACCAAGGCACTGACAATGAGCTGAGGGAGCTGCCTTCCCAGGGGTGTCTGCAAGCCCTGCGTGAGCCATGCTTCCACTCCACACGCTAATCTTTGGTGGCTGAATTTCTGGCACTGTGAAGGCCAGTGTGGGAGATTTGGCTTGTCTGTTTGGGAT